CCCGTACCAGTAGCATCAGGTAGCGTCAAAGCACAATACAACTCCTAAAACCCGTACCAACCCCAAATCCCTGACAACCCAAAGACCCCTCAAGCCCCGTAAACCCTTTATCCTGGAACAGTGTACGAGACTAAAACATACGACCCTAAACCCCCAAACCCCTAAACCTAAACCCCCAAACCCTAAACCCCTAAACCCCAAAGCCTTTGAACCCTAAAGCACCCTATACTTCATAGAGGGTTTTTCAATACCCTCTGAAGTACCCTAAACCCTAAACCCTACCCTTTTCAATGCCCCCTTTTCAGGCCCTGCGAGCAGAGGCCGAAGGAGCCGCACTCCCGGAGCCTCTGGCTCCGGGCAGCGGCCCGCTTCCGGCAGAGAGCCCGGAAGCCGGAGGCCCCTCTACTACCATATAATACGACAGTACTATACTAGTACTCTAATACTCTAACACTATGCTACCATAGTACCAGAGGCCCCTCTGGGCAGAGTGGGTTTTATGAAAGAAGACCCAGAGAGCCCAATTTACTCCTTAATTAAGCAATAGACCTTAAATTATAAGGGGCTTCATATTATGATTTAAGCTATATTCCTCCACAGTGGGTTTTTATCAGTTTTATCAATGAAGATCTATATTTGGGAGTTTCCGAAAATGGGGGGGGTACCTTATTTTGGGGTCCTTACAATAAGGATCCTACTATTTAGGGTACTATACTCGGGTCCCCTATTTTCGGAAACTCCCATATAGATCATTCTTCAACTTCAGTGTTCAGGAAGCAATAGAATGGGTGTCGAAGGAGATTTTTGGGGCTTTCGTGTCACAAGGTCGGAGGGTTCAGAGGCTTCGGGTTCAAGGTCTTACTCGCAAGATTCTGTCTGTAGCTTCGAAGGCAGGTTGTCGCAAAGTGTTGTCGGAGCTGAGGGCGACCTGCATTAGAAGAGCCCCTCGATGCCTACGAAGGCGTGCATCTTATGTCTGCCTTCGCCTTTAGACAGACATGGTCTTAGCAGCCCTTGGGAGGCATAGAGGAAGACAGCCCAGCCAGGATACTGCCGGGTTCAGAGACTCCACGGAGAAACCACCCCCGGGTTCTGCGATGTCTTGCGAGGACACGATGCCTGTCTTGGAATGCTGGGCTACTTTTGCTGCTCTGGGGTTCTGGAGGCCAGGCTCCAGCCGTTCACGTATCTTCGGTTAGTAGGGAATGGAGGAATGGAGTACAATTATAATTGCTACTACTGCTACTACTACTACTACTACCACTACTACTACTACTACTACTACTACTACTACTACTACTACTACTACTACTACTACTACTACTACTACTACTACTACTACTAATACCTCTACTACTACTACTACTACTACTAGTGCTAAACCACTGCTAATAGTGCTAAACCATGTCGTTACCAGCCCCACCCCCCACCCCTCCCCCCACCCCAAAAAAACAGAGGTTAACACCAGGCGCCAGAAGGCGCGCATGGGTACTACTACTACTACTACTACTACTACTACTACTACTACTACTACTACCATTCTTCCATTCCCTACTAACCAAAGGCAAGGCCGTTCAGCAGTGAAACTTCGAGGTGCCGCGCCTGCGATAGGACCGCCCAAGAGCAAGGACACTTTTGCGGAGAGTCGATGTGGCCTGGAATCTCCGACGACGGACATCGACGATGAGAAGTTCTGTCTTAAGGTGCCTCCCTGGACCCCAGAAATATGTAGAATAATAGCCTTTTACGGGTGTTGGGCAATTATTTAACGTGCTGTTGGGGGTTTAGGTCATGGCACTTCGAAAGTTCATTGCAGTTTAGTCTCTGACACCACGATGCTCACTGTTGCTGACAAATGGCAGGCCCTCCTCAGTGTGTTCTAGCAGCAGCTTACGTTTACAGACGTCGCAGCTGCTAGAGCGAATATGTAAAGGCTGAGGCTGCCTAGCAGCCGAATTCACAGTCGTTGTTCCCACATCGTGGGATCTGCTCACTGAAATTCAGTGTTGAATGTACAGGCCTTGACACCGCAAGACAGGACAGAAAGATCCTGATGTTGCCATATGCTCGTCGCATCGAGAATCAAGCCCGTCCCCCTGACACTTTTGAGAATCGCATTTCTTTCTCTTGATTCTGCCCGGTGCGCGGCACAGTTGCAGCAACTTCGGTGTTCCGGTGTAGTCTTCGCATGAGCCTGTTGAAGCTCAGTGCGCATGTGTTCTCCGTGCAAGCACGCACTTGGCTGTATGTGCCGAGAACTTTACCTCTACCGAGAACTCGGGGAGTTTAGCTAGTGCAGAGTGCTTATCTTAATCAGATAATGCGAACCGGCTTTTGTGGGACTAAACCCAAGCAGGATCAACCTGTGCATCGGGAAAAGGATGGCGCTGCAACAGTGCTTCGCTGCGAGTGTTTTTCGCATGAGCGCCACATCGTGTTCGAAGTTCGAAGAGCTCCTTGTCGCACTGCTTCACGAGGAGAACGAGGCAGATATGGATGATGAGGAACAGCCTGAAATGCTTTGACAGACATTGCCGTATAGGTTCCTGTAAGCTCAAGGGCACCCGACGCCTTCTGGTTTAGCTGCCATGTGTCTGTCAAGCAGGTTTGAAGGCCGTACCACTACCGTCATTACTGTAGTCTGTAGCTTTAGTCAGACTGTTGTCGGACGACTGTCGTCTGACTGTAGTCTGTAGGAGAGCAGTAGGAATTCAACACCGCATGCGGTCAGCGCACGATCACGAAGTGCTTGGCCGACACGGGTTAAAGCAAGCTCTCTGCGTGGATGTGCTTTCACTTCGATGCTTGCGTAGTTTTCAGAGCTCCACGTGGATCGGGATGCGAGCTGAACATGCGTCCCAATGTCAGCGTTCTTCGGCCCGAGAGACTTTGAATCATCTCCCTTCCATGGGCTTGTGTCGCGGGCGGGCTAGATTAGGTCACAAGGCCAGGTTTTTCCCCACGATTCGGGCCTTGCAGTGCTCGTCCCATCCGAGCCCAGGAGGGAAACAGGCTGATGCGAATTACGGAAGGCTCGCCCTGGTGAGGTTTGCACTCTGAATTCGGAACCAGTAAAATGTGAGTACTGGTACGGTAGTATTATTATGACGACTCCCGATCAGGCAGCAACCGCGATGAGTATGCGCCTCAAGTATCAGATTGCAGAGCGGGTGTAGGTGCAGAGGTTGCGAAACGAGTTTCTCTTGCTCTGGTGACCATGAGGCTGGTACGTTGGTCACGATGGACGACAGGCATCGGCAGCATGGTCAAGTGTTTAGGAACTTCAGGGCCTTTTCGGGTCTCAAGAACACAATAATGGATGCGAGCAATGATAGCTAATATTTATATTTGGCTAATCGTCGGGTCAGTGTTACCGTCAACACTAAGATGACTATTTGTACAGTATCGCGGCCCCAAACTGTAAACCCTACCTGAGCCGAGGGTTTTTGCTGTGCCGAAAGGAGCCGGCATGCTTCCCGCTAGGGCCGGTTCCCACCAACCTCGGGGGGGCGGAGAGAGAGGGAGGCGCTCAACAAAACTCACAGAAGTGTATTTTTTGGACAGACCAAACAAAGTATGTACAATAATGGCCGTTTATAGGTATTGCTAAACCCTAAACCCTAAGCCCTAAACCCTTTTACCTACTATGGGGGGGGTTTAGGTCAGAATATTCTACTTTTCTACTGCTTCTCCTGGCAGGTCTGGGTTGAGGCTCGCGAGACGGTCTTTACCTGCGATAAGCCTGAGGCCGGTCTCAAGAAGGGATTCAAGTGATCTTCGACGCACGCACACACACACACACACACATATATATATATATATATATATAGATATATATGGTCACGCGCTCCGCAGCCCCTTTGCCCGCAAAGGTCAATGGTCCGGATATAGGTGGGGGCCCCCCCCTCCCCTGTGGTGTGGGGTGTGGGGTTCCTCTTCCCCCTGTGGGGTGGTTGCGGGGTTTTGGGGTTTAGGGTTTAGCTTAAGCTTTTGAGTTTTGGGTTTACGGCTACAAGGTATAAGGCTTCGAGTCGACAAGGGCTTAGGGAGGATTTGCGGTGTATGCTCTGCTTTAGGCTTAGAGCCTGCAGTCAGGTGGGGTTTAGGGTTGGGTGTAGCGTTTTAAGTACAAGTTAAGGTTGCTCAAAACAGGGGCACTCGCTGCGTCATAGGGTTTACGGCCTGCTTGCGAAGGGCTTGCGCGTGAGCCCTAGCCGCCAGCACCACCCCACGATCCAGTGGCAGCTCCAACAGCCCCCAACCCCTTTCCGCACACGCCACCCCCCCCCCCCCACCCCTGTTATACCATTGGGGGGGGGGGGGGGGGGGTGGGAACGCCAGACGCCTGACCATATATATATATATATATATATTATACACTTTCGTATATGTTATGTATATATATATATACATATATATACATATTACATTATGGATCAGGGCAACACAGAAGGGGGCAACACTTTGGAAAGGCAAGACCCGACCCTTCGCCCGAAGTTCGTCGAACCCCGCCGGCGTTCGCCGAACCCTCGCCGAACACCTCCCCTCCTTCGAACCTTTATTATTAAATTCTAATATTATTAATATTAATTAATACTAATAATACTAATAATAACTAATTAATATTCATTTAATTATAATTAATATTAATATTAATATCAATAATACGAATACTAATATAATACTAATAATACTAATACTAATATAATAATACTACTAATAATAACTACTAATACTAATATTAATGCTAATACTAATTTGTTTAATACTAATACTAATTAAATCCTAATACTAATGTTACATAAATTATTATTATACTTAAATTTATTTAAATACTAGTACTTATGATACTGATATTTCAATATAATTTGTAACAACAGAACTAATAATACTAATACACTAATTAAATTAGTAATTAAATATTACTAATACTAGTATTATTAATGATGTATTAAATACAAATATTTATTAAGTCTCATATTAATAATTTTAGTAATATTTATATTCAAAAAATACAAAGGTGAAATTACAATGAATGTGAAAAACTAATAAACTAAAAAGTATTAGCAATAATGTGCATACTTTAACCTTATCACGAATGGCTCATAGTATAATAGATTTGCATTCGAAGCCTGAATGGCTTGTATTCTTAGTCATAGATGAATAATATGGGAACCCTGTCATGAACAATTAACTTGCAGAATACTTGTTAGTGTGCTGTTCAGAGTTACTAATTGATAATCAATGTCCATACAGGCCATTGTCAATAAAGTATATTGTTTGTTAGCTATTTCTTATTATTCAATTTGTGATACTATCGCTAGTGGTAACAATTTAAACAATAATTTTTAAATAACTCATCATCAGCACACTATTTCTCACAGGGGCCTGCCTATCACCGGTACGATCCCAATTCATATTCTAATAGTATCAATAATAAAAAACTCAGTTTCCTGATTGCTTAATTTGGACGCAGAACATGTGTGTCCTGGATATGCATCTATTTTCTTTGAGTGGTTCTGTATAATAATTAAGCAGCTTTATGAACTTGTGTATGATATGATGTCAACACTAATCAAAACATACTGCCGTATAAGTGATGAATAATTAAATACACACTTTGACTTAGCTAGATTATTCGTGGTTTTGCCTGTTGTAACACTGAATACTGGCTAACAAGAACAATAGTACTATTTTATAATCAGCAGGTTTCAGCAAGATTGAGTACAATAATATCACGATCATCCCTCTGCTTGTAACCAGAAAGAATAAACAACAGTTGAGTCGAAAGAACAAACTTGACAATAGTGTAGCCAGAGGCTTAGGCAATTACATTGTTACTAACTGTTAGCAGCATAAAGAATGTAGTTAATAGCAACAACAAATATGAACACATATAGATACTCACCATCATCATCGTCATCATAATCATGCGTGCTGCTGTGTCTTTTTGTTTTGGGAAGGGGGGAAGGTTCAGTCAGGGCAAGACTTCGGCTTCGCTGCAGTTGGGAGGGTTTGGGGTTTGCGAGTCTTGCAGGGTTTGGCCCGAGTCCATTGTAAGAACCCTATTCCCAAAGACCCGAAAGAAAAGAAACCAACCCCACCATGCAGCCCTCCTGAAGCCGCAAGCCCAGCCCAAGCAAGAGAGCATTCACGTCTTGGACAAGATCATGGTGATGCTGGGAGCCCGGGCAAAGTACTCAGTGAGGGTTTCCGGGTGAGCGCCTAAGGATTCGGGTTAGGAGTTAATGGGCCGACCGTGAGGTCGTGCCCGGGTCTAGGAGTAAGATTTACGCTAGCCGGGTCGACCGGGAGGTCGCGCCCGTTTTTGCAAGACGTCCATCGGACGCCGGCCGTGAGGTCGTAAGAACAGCGGCTGGGAAGCCGAGTCGTAATACGGCAAGAATTAGCAAGACGTCCATTTGGACGCCGGCCGTGAGGTCGTACGAGTAAGAGATAGCAAAGTCACTATATGGAGAGACGGTAGGGAGTAAGGTGTAAGATCAACAGACGTCCATAGGATGCCGACCGGGCGGTCGCAAGATTAGAAAGGAGGGTCAATGCAGAGTAAGATTATTCTTCCAGCAAGCAACTAGTTACGTCGTATTGAACTGATATTATTGGCCATTGGTTGATGGTTGTTGGGTTGAGTAGTCAGTGTTACAGTGTATAATAAGACTGTGATGTGTTTCTTGATGTGGGAATTTCAGGGCAAGACCTAACCCTGCCGAGAGCGTAAGAACCGATGACGAACGCCCCCTGATAAATACGGAGCTTCCGCAAGCTTTGAATGTAAGTCGTAAGTGTAAACCGAACCACCCTCTCCCGCGCAAGATTCCGATTTGCTAGCTGCCCGAAGCCATCAGACTTGAACTCTGCCTGACCTCAGACCCAACTCCGAGCCCTAAACCGGGACCAATCTCCAAACAGGCAAGAACATTTGTAAAAAATGTTAGACATTAGTTAGAGACTTGCCCAAGGCAATCAATCAATATACAAAATTCAAATCAATTAATAATAATATACAAAATTCATGCTAAGTGAATTGCCAGATTGACTACCGAGGCCAGACCTCCGCATGCCTCGTCGTGCCAGATTTCTAGCAGGAGGAGACCCGGGTGGTTTGGTTTTCTGCAGTGGGCTTTTGATCAGATCAATAATCGAATCAGCGGTTGTTGACCATTTGTCAGATTTGGCTTCACGTCAAGGTTGAATTGAGTCAGCAAGAACAGTGCGTCCGCAGTTGACCAGGTTGTCTCAGTCAGACTCAGAAGCATAATTAATTAATTATATTTTTTACAACGTAGAGTGAGTGAAGACGAGTAGACACTGACACGTAGTAGCTCCGCTTCCATGGCTGACCAGTGGCAAGATCAGCAGTGGAATGACCGTGCCACGCGGTGGAATGAGTGGCAAGATGACCAGTGGCGGTGGAATGAGTGGCAAGATGAGCAGTGGCGGTGGAATGAGTGGCAAGATGAGCAGTGGCAAGATCAGCAG